GCCTTTTCTGTATGGGTGGCCACTCCCTTGCCACACACATATACAGGGGGGGTTATAGCTTGACTGACAGGCACCTAATGAGGATAGCAAATAAGCAAACAGGATAGGTGTGGGTTAGGTCTACACACTCGCCCTCCCTCATTGAGCTTACTCAAAAACTCTTTTATCTTCCACAGTTTACCGTTTTGCGGAGGGGGGGTTCCTATCCGGTCGTTCCTTTGTTTCGTACTTTGCTTAATCTGTTGGTCGTCTGCCTGTTGTGCGATGGAAATATATTCACTGGACGCGAGGCCCTGTATTCCCGAAAACTCCCTAAGCACTCAAGAATAAGGAGCTTCCTCGAAAAACAGATTTGGAGCAAACGTCCCGTTGAGTAGGGATAGAAGGTGTAGACGAGTTCAATCCTCCCTCACCCAAATAGGATGCATGATCCTGACATACCGGCACCATAAATAGCCTTCAGCCGCATCAGATAATTAGTGTTCACCCCTGTATCTCCACCCAAATCTCAAATTTGCAGATTAGCTTGAAAAGGTCTAAAGATGCCTTCGATGTTCAATAAGTGAGGCTCCCCAGCCCGGGACGTCTCGGGCTTCAATTTATTAAACACAGCCTCCCCCATACAGTATTTATTCAAAACGTGTCCTTGTGTAGGGTGATAATGAGGTGGAGGATACAAAGACATCTTTGATTTGGCTTAATCTATTTTTTTTTTCTGAATCAGGGAACCTTTTCAAGGGCAGTTATGAATTGATCTGAATTAAAAGTTCCATTTTTCACATACTTGCCCGAGTTTGCCGCAGAGGTGAGAAGTGATTGGGGGAAAATCAGACTGCAGAACACAGCCAACATCGTTCGCCGTGTCAGTCTGAGTGGCATTTGGTAAACGACTATTGCTGTTCACAAAATATGTTCGATTTTTAATGTGAAGACTTTCACGTTTTGTTGTGTTTCTCTTGCGCCCCGAGCTTATCCGTCGATTTTTCTTTCCTGCTCAATCAAGATGGAAAAACAATGCATTTAATTACAAACCAAAAAAAAGATGAATTTTCCATAACTTTTTTGACTGTAGTTTTTGTTTTGTTTTGTTTAAATGTAACTTTTTTTTAATCCTGCCCCAAGCGTGAGAATTGTAGAAAAATGTTTTTTTGCTCCTAATCGGGCCCCTCTGCGCCCATCTTCCACTTCCACATCCTTCCAAGTCTCCCAGTCCCTGATGCAGAAGAGCACAGCCCTTTTCCCTCATTACCTTCAAACCAGCAGAAAGGGAGGGCTAAATTTATCCACCACTGACGCACCTTTCAGGCAAAAGTGGTAATCACAGAGTCAAAAATGGTCCGTAGAGTGTGTGTGTGTGTGTGTGTGTGTGTGAGGGAGAGCTGGCGCTGCTGTCGTCTCTCAGCTGATTGTGTGATGGCAGATGGGTGTATGTTAGCACACCCTGACGTGGCACTAACCCTCCTCGGCCTTGTCTTTGTGAGCTTTTCCATTTTGTAAAAAAAAAGAACCAGCCTGACCGCAGTAGGACGCTGCCGACACCATGTTCGTCACCAGGCAGTTCTGTTTGCCCGCTTTCCTCCACATGTGCTTTTTTTCTGAGGCTGTGATTGAGGAGTTCAATCTTTCCTTCATCAGATAAGAGGATTTACGTCTTATGGTCTGAGAGTCGTTCAGGTGCCATTTGGAAAATTCCATGTCATCTTCGTTTTTTACGGCGGAAAGGCTTCGGCCTGCTTTCCCCTCTCCACTCGTACTGAGCACTGGCTTTCTGTCTCTATCAGCACATTCAGACTGTTTCTGTTATTGCCAGACTTTGCAGCTTGGTCAGAAGTGTCAGAAAAAAATGTGCAAATGTTGATTTGACTGTTTTAATGTGATTTAAACAGATGACGCAACACAAAAAAACCCTATTTTTCTCATTGTGTAGAGTGAAACAGAAGAAGGCGTGTAGATGGATAATTAAAAAAAAAAAACAAATGAGTCAGAAACACTAGAATTCTAAACCTGGGAAGGGTTTAAAAACTTTAAATCCGCAAAGTAAGCTTAGACATCCCAGTTTATGAAACAGAGGTTTAGACGGCTCCAAATCTTATTAAGTGAAGACACTGTTGCTGGAAGACACTCCTGAATCCCCCCTGAGTAAACGATCTTGAATGTTAATTATTTCAGGTCTTTAAATGATCTGAATCATAATTTTGGGAAATAATTATGAGTTCTTCACTTTTTTTCTTTCGGTGTGACTCTCTCACACACGCTCACACACACACAGGCACACAGACTAATCAGGCTTTGGAAGTAAATAATTACAAAGACAGAAGGATTCACACAAACTCACGAGGGCATGCCACCACCCCTGCATCTCTCCCACGTCCTCGCAAACAGACAACACTGTCTGCTTGTTTTGCGGCAGCCACTTCGCTCGCATTCCGGATCCCTGGGCGCCGTCTCCACCTGTGCCGCGCCGCCCTTCCCCGCTCTGCGCCGCGGCCACAAAGTCAAACGCTATTGTCCCAAAGTGTTTGCGTGCAGCTGCGAGGGGACCGAACCTGACCGGGATGAATAAGCATCGGAATAAATAAAGAATAAGCCTCGCTCGAGGAATTTGTCTCATTGAAGATGAAAAGCATCTGCCTCTCTCTGGCATCTGCTATGAGAGATATCCCTCCATCGCCAAGGGTTCGGAGCACGGCGAGTAGCCAAGTCTATCAGCCTCGCTCTCCCTGTCTTCCCACTGACTTGAACCAGCACTCTGGCATACATTAAAAAATAAGTTTCCCAACAAATTAGTCAGCCAGCAAAAGTTGATGCGAGTTGCACTCACTTTGCACCACTAACTCTGGGTATTAACTGGAAAAACAAATGGGTCTGAATGTCTTTAATTCCTGTTGCAGAGAAGGGGTGTGATCCACTTCTCTGGCAGCGGATTTGTGTTTTTTTTTTTTTTTCTCCCTCCACTCCAGCCTCCGAGAGCTTAACACACCAACAATAAACCGCCTTTTCCCTCATTATCAGTTATGAGGAAAGCTTTTTTTTCCTTCTTCTTTTTCTTGGTGTGGAGCTGGCGGCCATATCTCTCCACTGCCTACGTGCGGGGTGGAGTGTGTCACGGGTCGATACGATCTCCTCGTGAACTTTCGGTGATAGCCGTTCTCGACCGGGCAGCTTTTAAAAAATTCCTCATAAGCAAGATGTGTCGGAATCAGAAAATTGGTTCAGCAGACATGAAAGCCCAGAGGCACATTCCTGTACGGTGACAAAGCGGCGATGATGAGCCGGCTGTCAGCGATACCTGTCTGGGTCTGTGCACAGGTGAGGCACCGTCCCAGCCCTCACAATGCATTCCTTCTTACTTCTCGCAGACTTAATAAGCCATGCAAAGATTTCTCCCTTTCACCCACTGACTTTTGGTGGAAGTCAAAATAGTTCAAAGTAAAAACCTGGACGTTTTTGCTTTGCCAAGGTTCCTGCTCCACGGACCGATTCCAGTGGTGGTATTAAACAAAGGACTGGGCCAAAAAGGTGTTTTATGTGCGTTTTTCTCTCTTTCCACCCGCACTGAAAAAAGCCACATGAGTAATGGGCTGCTCAAGACCTCCGCTGGCTCAAGAATGTTTTTTTTTTTTTTTTTTGCAGATACTGGAGGCATTGTGTCCCTGACACTCGCACTTATTTAGCTGAGCTGAATAGACTAAAGCTGACTGGCCACCCAACCAGCCTCAAGATATTCCCCATTGTGAACTCCTCTCCGTTTCTTTATATAACACCAATAAGTATTGTTCAAGAAGTGGTCAGTGAGATGGTCTGGAAGAGCTGAAAGTCATTTCAACAGGCTTCTTATAAAAATGCTGACCAGGGTGACTTTGAAAAAGGAAAGAAAGGCTCCCTTTAAAACTTCCCACTTTGGCCTATTTTCCCCCCCCTTAAACCTCACACATGCTGCTTTAACTCCATCAGAACAGAGATGCCTGTTCTTACCAAACTGTCATCTCCTGTACAGGATAATGAATGTTCATCACAGATGACCATCAACAAGAACATTGGAGATTTTATTCTTTAGTTCACGGAGGCAGTTTGCCTTATTTATGATGTAAGAGGGTATCAGAAAACTATCTTAAACAGTGGCCGCAGCCGTTGGCAACACTAAACAGAATTTTCTTAAAAAGAGAAGCATCTACGCTTGTGTATGATGCTTCGCAGGGACAGCCTTTGTTTTTGTCTCTTGCTTAGGCTTCAGACAGTGGATCAATGCTTTTTAGTTAATTTCTGGTACACCTGCTGCTGCCTTTCTTCACCAAACAACAGCAAAACGTCCCCTCCCCGCTCATTTGTCGTACGTTACAGGTTTATTAATCACCACGTGCTGTCATTATATGAGATCACAGCACTCTGTGTGATTTGAAACCATCTGGAAGCCACAGTTCCAATATCCTAATGGGAAATATTTGGTGGTCCGCGGCCCTTGGGGACCGCCGTTTAGGAGGTCTTCTGGGTTTTGAAGTGGCCCTTTGTGTGAGCGGGCGTCTGGGGAGATGACGTGTGCCTCCTGACCTTTCTTTTATTCCTGCTGTTTTTTTTGTCGCTATAATTGTATCGATGTAGAACTTCGCTGCATTTCTGGTCTCATTCCCGGCTGCTGATGCAAGTGGCGTGTTACATTCCTCTCGGTATTGTCCTCTGCCCGGAGCAGGACTTGTTGGGGGTATTAGGTGCCTTGTCGGTCGCGAGCAAAAGATCTCCGGCGTTGCGCGCTGCCGTTTTCTTACGAGTAAACTACATTTCTCACTTGTTTGGTCCTGCGCGACGACTTGCTTTTGATATTCCCGCATAACTGTGTTGTTCTGCTCATTCAAATATATGCAAATGTACGGTGAGTGTGCATACTAATGACTGTGCACCCCTGTTCTGCATGTGTTTGCTCTCCCAGGTGTTAGTCTTTGATCCTGTCAGAGTGGGACGTGTCTAGCAGGGGGACCGAGGAGGGAGCAGTGCCAACTTGGAACATGGTGCCTAATATTCACCTGGCAGGGCCCCTCCTGCCCAGAAGAGCGTCTCTGTTCCTGCTTCTGCTCAGCTGCATGGTGTTCTCGTCTCTGGCAGACAGTGAGTAACCGCGTTCACCTGTGACATCCTCCTTTAGCTCCTTCACTGTATTAAAAACTCGCGGAGTGCTTTGACACTAAGCATGTAATCAATTATTTAAGATTTCACATATAGAGCTACATCCTGCCATCGCTCGCACATCTAAAAGGGCTGGTGTTGCATTTTCATCACATATAATGAACATTCAACATGAATTTTCACTATGACAAAGCGTGCATAGAAATGAATTTTACAATGAACACAGATCCACTTTGGTGTCTTTGATTCTGGTGGATCTCAGCCTCTGGTCCTCGCATATATCTCTGTAGTGTCTGAACTAAGAATAAACATACAGTGCAGGCGGTGGGGCTCTGACAGCCTCCGTCTGCAGTCGTCCGTCTGAATGACAGTTTTGGCCGGAAAAAGGCAGACTGGAAGATGGGTCTCTGTTGCCCCACCTTAGGGTCCCGGGGTTGGCCGGGAGCCACTGCCCCGCCGAAGATGGGGTCAGGGACGGAATTAATTCAACACATGACCCCACCTATAGTGCTGTCTTTGGGTCACTGTAATTCAATTATGCCCCGACCCTCATGTCCCCCTCATCCGACCACGGCAACCGCCCTGTCCTTTCCATCACACATCAAAGGGGATTTGTTTTTCTCTACCCTTTGCCTCTTGCCTCTGAGTCTTGTGTTTCGTGGCGTCTTCCTTTGTACAGTATCCACGTGAAGTTGACCTTGTAGGAAAAGTTTTGCTGTCCCGTCGGTTTTCCGTGTGGTCTGGTAAGATTGATTTCGCTCTGCTTGTAATTTGATGAGAGCCAATCAAAACCTGACTCGAGCAGTAGTGCCTAAGTAAGACATTAATTCAGCGCCCCACTGAACTGGATCCATACGCAGACACGTTTCCCACTCAGATCCATTTGTTTTTCCTGTGTAACCAAAACTATTGGATTCTGTTATCGAATGACAAACTCGGGATATTAAAAACCACTTACGAATTCAGATAAAGTTTGCCCGTCAGTCGGTAATGATTAATGGCGCTTTAATAACTGGCATAGCACTTGCCTTGATGAAGCAAAATCTATTTGATGGTTGTGAACTTTGTTTACTCTCCTGCCTAGTTGTGTTCCTGTTCTCTTTTGTGCCTGGAATTAAATAATAAAAGAAAGGACCTGCACTTTGCACTTTGCATTATAAAGAAATAAAAGATGATGTCACGGGGACTGAAGGTGCTAAATTACTGTTTACAATTTGCTGAGTTTGTCAAGTGGCGCCTCACAGTGTGAAGGGAGCCTTTGCTGACTTTTGTAATGCCTTTAATCTGTTTTGAGCAGATAGCAACGTGCAAAAGGGGATGATAAGCAAACGTGTTGGATGGCAAGTCATCTAAATAGTTTCTGAGTGCTTTCTTTCACTTGCATTTTTGATAAACACATCATTTTGAGTTGCCCATGCAGTCTCCACTTGCTGCCACTGAGCAGCTCAGAGTTATTTGAGAATGCACACAGTAAGCCAGTGATTTTGGTCTGTGCCTCTTTGTCCCAAAGGGACTTAAACTGCCCCTGTCTCTGATTTCAGTGATTGTATCATTTACGGATTAGACATTGAGTCAGACATTTTAATTAACAGACAAAGACACTGTGGTGCGACAAGCTGCTACAGGATTTTCTTTCTTTTCTTTTCTTTTCCTTTCTTTTTTTTCTAACTGAAGCCACACTCACACTGATATATGATTAAGAAGTGCAAGAGGAAAGAAGAGAAAGGTCACACATTAAATAGCTGTTAGAAAAACCAGACATGGTCCGGGGTTGAAGCTGTGGCTTTAATGCACACATAGGAAGAGGAACGGACCCAGAACTGTTGTTACTCAGCCCGTGAAATAAGACGGCATAGAATTAAAAATAAGACAGCCAGGGGGAACCAGAAATATCACCTACCACTAATGGCAGGGTTGTGTGCATTTGGTGTCTTTAATTTGTAAGGAACTTAGTTATGTGAGCTTGATGTATCTGGTTTGGATCCGCTGTATTACAGGGTAACACACCAGACAGATATTATGGGCGGAGTGCGTGGCAAGTTTCTGATTACACGGGCTCAGTCTGGTGTCCCAGTCTCCACCTTTCAAAATGTTAAGCAGGCAGGGAAAACCACAGGTAGAAAACATGTTAGGCAAAGCCCTTTTTTTTATGCAGCTTCATGCGAAACGTTTGCTTTTTTTTTAAAGGAGGCCACCTTTTTAGAGATTGTTGTCATGATTTAACCTGACAAACACACACAAGGAGCTGTCCACCGTTACGGTTTTGTGACATCATTCATCTTATGCCATCGCTGGGTAAGCAGACAATGCGATGTGATTACTCTGAGTGCTGATCACAGACGTCCCATCGATCCCGGGGGGGGGGCTCAGCCTAATTAAGCAGCTCCCCGGTACACAATAGGCCAGCGGCCCCACAAGGTCAGCCTCAAAGTCGCACATACCCAGCACTTAAACGTAATGGTTATCTTTTTGTGGCGCTGTCATTGTGAGTTATTTCCTTCACTTTAATAAGCTTTTGATGTATGTGTCTCCTCTCGTTCTTCTCAAGTTATGATCAGGGTTTTTTTTCCTTCCCCCGCGAGGTGCCGCAGGATCTCCGGGGCCCTCTTTTTGTGCCACATCCCAGGTGCGGGGAGATCACAGCCATTAACTCCTCCAGTTTAAAGCACTCTTTACATCAAACCGCTGCGTGCTATTTGCGATTGCCCATGTTCCACTGCAGCATAAACGAAAGACCCCTGCTGTAATTTTAGTTTAGATTTTGCAAAAAAAAATCCACTGATAACCTGTGTAGATTCCATAGTTTCAGAACGCTTGTAAAGTTTTTAAGTGCGCGTAAGCCATTCCTTTAAGTCAACCTTTGTGGATTGGTTTGGCAGTTGCTTGAGCGGCTACAGTGGAATGATGCAATGAAAAATGCCAAAGTGGTTTAGGGATGGATGTCCAGATGGGGGGGTTGGGGGAAGGGGTTGCAAATTGGATTGTATTTTTTTTAAGTGTCCATATGGTCACCCGGTTCAAACACGGACGAGGGACAGAAATTGATTCTTTTTAATTAAAAGTAACCATATCCACCTTGGAGAGGCACTCGGAGAGTAATGCAGTTAAACACAGCTGCGGTCCGCAGGCATAATGCAGACCGCCACAGCGGGAGCACGTCCACGGTGGAGGAGGACCTAACAAAAAGCAAGTCCACCTCATGGCGCAAAAAGATGTGAAAGCAGCGGAGATTTGGAGGGGTTGGACAGGTTTGATGAGAAGTTGTTTTCTCAAGCCAGGGCGGCAGCATCAGAATTCAGGGAGGTCGTCGGAGGCTAATGATGTGAGATTAATAGTTTAATTAGCGGGCTTGATAGCACGGGCCTGAGGCAGCCACCAGAACTCTTCGCCGTGTCCCGGAACCACGTCCATCCAGACGAGGGCAGATGAAAAGTGACATTTCAATTCTGCGCCAGTCAGGTTTTTATGGAATTCCGGTTCCTTACTGATATTTGTATTTGTAACTTGTTTCTGTTGCAATCTCACTGGACGCTGCTCTACACTGAGCTGTAATAATGCCCACTACAGGGTTCTGGCACTCAGGAGGCACATTGTTCCAAACTCATTTATACTGTCAGACTCTTCTTAAAGCAGCTTTGAAAGGGGTCAGAAAAAAGGTTGATCTCATATGAAATCTGTCCTTCAGATTCACTTTTTCAGAGCTTCAAAATCAGAAGGCAACAGTGACCACATTGTTATGGCAGAGAGAATCTCTTTTTTCTTTTTTTCTTTTTTTATAAACCATGGTTCTGTCATTACATAATTCAATTTCCTCTCCAATTTTGGCTACTGGAGAGTAAAATCACTGAAGGCCTCTGGGCCATGTGGGTGAGAGGATTAGAACAATGGTAGGGGCTCTCCCCGGTCTCCGAGGAAAAGCTAATCAAAGGGAGGCAAATTAATGAAGTTAGTAGGGTCGCAGGACGGTGTGTGGTAATGGATGATGAGCTAACCCCAAAAAGGGATTTCCGAAGAAACTTGAGGCAATCTCAGCATCTGTGTCCGCAGCCCAGCACCCCCCGGGATTACTTAAAATACTTAACAGTTTCCCCACTTGATCTATTAATGTTGGGGTCTGGACCAAGGCGCTACACCAGGTGCCTGAATCCCACAGCCACTAACAGACATGGCCTTGGATTTCCATTATAAAGATAGCACGTTCTGTGAGTTATCATAAATTCAGGCTGCATGCAGAAATGCCGCATTCAAAATGTCTTTTCCCTCTTTGTCTCCTGCTTTGTATGCAAGTGTCCCCGGGTTGACACCCACACATGCCTCCAAACATTCAGACGTCCTTTGCAGTGTCAAAATGGAAGAAAATAAAAAAAATCCGCTTAATGACAGTGCAACGAACAAATTTCCCAAAGTGAGCTCGGTGGAGACTGTGGGAGATGTTGCTCCTGGGGAGTGTAAATGAGCCACGTTGGCAGGCTTGTCTTACAGTTCAGGGCCACATGCACACAGAGCTTGTTCATGGAAGAAAGGGAATCATTTTGAATTATACATCTGCATCAGTTCCATTTGTGTGGAAGACTCTAGCTGGTTATGTTGAGTTTTCTGCAAAGTCTTAATAAGTGGCCTAAGGGTTTGTCATTAACTTAAAGAAAAAAGACTATTTAATGCAAAGAAACAGTGCACTGTAAGAGGCTGGAACAAAGAAACGACTGTCTGCTTTTATCAAAGTGCCCCATATGTAAGCAGGTAGATTGAAAGAAGTCAGAGATAGTGAGTCATCTTTGGCTGGATCTAGGTTGGGGCGCCAGTTGAAATACCACGGGTAACACAACACCTCAGACTCTCAGTCGTGTGATACTCAGAACATCCACTTTCTCACCGTCCCAAAGCACAATAAGTATTTATCCCTCGCATGTTTTTTGACAGGCGCTTTAAATGTCTGTTCCATGCCTAACTGTTTTTGCATCATTTTTCAAATGTCATGCAGT